CAACAGTTTCAGATCTTCGACCAGTGGTCTTAGATACACATTGATGTCGTTACCAGGTTGCTTGGGGCCTTGAATAATAATCAGCATCATTATGTACTTCCTCTTCATGCATAGCCAAGGGTGGAGGTTGTAGATACACATCGTAACAGGCCAAGTGCTATGGCCGCTGCTCATCTCTCCAAAAGGATTCATGCCATCCGTACTTAAACCAAACCGTATGTTTCGTGCGTCCTTTCCAAAGTCTTTAAATGTTCTGTCGATGTTTTGCCACTGCGAACCATCGGCGGGGTGTCTCAGCATCCCGTCCTGTTAACGTTCTTCAGCGTGCCAACGCATCATTCTAGCATTCCCCTTTTTCCTGAACAAATGCCTTAGCCGTGGTATTATAGGGAAATACCACATCACCTTAGCAGGAATTCTCTTCTTCGTTGGCTGCCCGTCAACTTCACCTGGATCATCTCGTCTAATCTTGTATCGTAGTGCTTTACAAACAAGGCATGCTTCTAGGTTCTCGTACTCCTCACCACGATATAGGATACAATCATTCGGACATGCGTGAATCTTCTGAACTTCCAGTCCTAGAGGGCAGACTATCTTCTTAGCCTCGTACGTTGTCTCGGGCAATTTGTTTCCCTCCAAAAAAATGTTCTTGATGAATTTCAATAAATCGCCAAATGCCTTGTCACTAACACCATTTGTTGCCTTCCATTGCAAGAACTCCAAAGTGGTATCCAACTTTTTGTGCCCCTTCTCGCAACCTGGGTACAACAACATTCTGTGGTCCTCTAACATACACTCCAATTTATGGGCCTCCTTTTCACTTTCACAGTCCTCCTTGGCGTCCTGCAACATCTGACCAAGATCATCCGCAGCGTCGTTATCGTCAGCATCCCTGTCCACCTTGCCCGTTTGATTTCCTTCAAATTCAGCGTACTAAGCCCAGTCCGGAATGTTCTCGTCTTCCACTTCATCTTCTTCCATTTCAACCCCTTGCTCACCATGGGATGTCCAACAATTATAGCTTAGCATGAACCCCGACTCAAACAAGTGGATCTGAATAGTCCTGAATCTAGAATACTCCTTCTGGTTCTTACACTTATTGCATGGACAACAAATAAAACCCTTATGCTTGTTAGCTTCGGCCACTCTCAAAAAATAATGCACGCCATCAATAAACTCTTTGGACCGCCGGTCAGCGTACATCCATTGCCGATCCATCTACATAAAATGAAAAAAAAAATCGTACATAAATAAATTTTCGTACAATAATGACAGTCATACAATAATGATAAAATAATTAAAAACTCTTTCAACAGTTATAAAATAATGACATATCATTATTCATACAATAATTATAAAATAATCCAACAAACAATTCTTATTTATTATTTTTGAAGTTTTAAACTAATATTAATGTTGTACTTCTTTGAATTTTCAATTTAGTTTGTTTTCTATTTTTTAAGATTAATTTTCATTATATTTTAAACTATGAGTTAAAAACTCTTTCAACAGTTATACAATAATGACATATCATTATTCATACAATAATATAAAATAATCCAACAAACAATTCTTATTTATTATTTTTGAAGTTTTAAACTAATATTAATGTTGTACTTCTTTTAATTTTTAATTTAGTTTGTTTTCTATTTTTTAAGATTAATTTTCATTATATTTTAAACTATGAGAATAAAACTTTCTTAAGTAAACAAACAAAATTCCTATATATTCTTCTTCCCCACACAAATTTTCTCTCTCATCAACTTACAACAAAGTTTTGGAGACAAAAAAAATATGTGAAACATTGCTCCCAAAGTAATATAACAACAAAAAAAACATTGGAGGATGAAGTTACTAACCTTCTATACACCTCCAATTTATATATAATCACCAAAAAAATTTCACAAGAAATTTTGGCATGACCTCCCCTCTTTTTTGAAGAAATTTTGAAGCTTGCTCGGGCTGAAGGAGGAAGAAGACATATATAAAGGGGATCTTTAGTTCCAGTTGGTGTTACCAACCGTCTGACCGATCAAAGATGGTTTCTCCACTGGTGTTACTCCTGGAACTTATTAATCCACAAGCTAACATTTAATGAATTAACTCTCTTAGCTACAGAAAAAGTTCATTTGACGTTCTAATTATATTTTTCTTATCTTCTTTATTTTATGTTTCTCTTCATATATACAAGTCGTATTTTGCTTTGATAAATGCCAAGAGACAAAAGCTAATAATAAATCCATCGAGTCAATAAACTCATATCCTTGTACGTAGTAGCTTTATAGGTTTCTCTACATCTTGTATATATACACGCCACTAGCTCAAAATAGTTTAAATTGTTCCTATTAAATCTACATGTTAAGACCCAAGTGGACTATATGTTTTTCTCTAAAATATCGTACAGGTCCTACGTATCATGAAGAAACAATGTCCAAGATATGTATATTTCTTCCGTCTTTACTCATTGACATGAATGCATACAACAAATTGCATGCTTATGAACCAATTAAAGTGATGACTCGAATGTTACAAGTAAAATACATTTTGTTAGTAAAAGTTTCTTTGAGGTTTCTTAAGAAAAAGGAGACAATGAGACAATGGACGACATTCAATTAAAAAAAGAGAACATCTTGCTTTTAATTTAAACTTAATTTGTTAGACCTGTTTTTCTGCACAAATTATACATGTGCCCGCGCGAATGCACGGGCTACCTTCCTAGTTGTACTCTAAATATTACAAATACGCGACCGGTAATATATAGATTGAATATGGGTACAGTGATACAAGCCTGCGCAGTGCTCAATTAAACCTTGATTCACGCCTGTCTCTTGGATTAGAGGCTACGGGTGCCTATTGCGGTTCTTTCTAACTATACAAGTGATTAGTAGTTTTTCTTATAAATTAAATATGGACTCTTCTTACAAGATATTTTTTAAAATAATAAATTATAATCGAGAAATGATGACTTGATATGATTTATGAAATCGCATGCCATACATCCTTGCTAATAATACTGCTTGCTGAGTACTTGTACTCACCCTTGCTATTAACTATCCTCCAAACACTTTTGGGCAAGCCACTTTTGGGCAAGCCAGTGAGTTAAATGGTGGGTTGGAGGGTCAGTACTATGCCCCTTGGTGTGATGAAAATCAAGGGGATGTTGTTTATGACTATCACGTGTATTATGGAGGATGGGATGAGTTGATGTACGCAGGGGAGTGGTCTAGTAGCTATGTCAGTGAACCTGGGATATCGAAGCAGGAACTCCCCCGTCTAAAAAAAAGACAAACCATAAATTTTCGTGTCCAATATTTGACTCTTCGTCTTATATTAAACTTTTTTATAATTAGTATTTTCATTGATGTTAGATGATAAACATGATTAATACTTTATGCGTGACTTGTCTTTTTAATTTTTTTTATATTTTTTTCAAATAAGACGGACGGTCAAACGTTGGACACAGAAACCCAGGGTTTGTCTTGTTTTGGGACCGAAGGAGTAATGACTAAAGTACTGCTAGCTCCTGCTTAGAACTTGTATTATTAATGGGTGAACTTGTAAGGCCATGTTTCAGACTTTAACCCTGCATGGCATGGTATTGTAATGTTATCTGAACCTTCGCTATCTCTGATGTGGATCATTATTCGCAAAAGCGCTACTGTGGCGAAACATAATTGATGGACTAGTGACGTCATTTTGGTAATGACGGCGCGGGTCGTCACAATATTCTTACTCTATAGGACCGAAATCTTTTGAAAAATATTATTTCTGTAAAAATGTATTTAAAGCCACTCATAAGTCATCACGGAAGAGAGAGCGGGTGGATAAATAAGGAACGAGAGGGAGAGAGAGGGGAGTATGATAAGTGGGCTCTATTTTATTTATTTTATTTTATTAGAAAAAATGCTCGTGCATTGCAACGGGAAAGGCTATTTTAATCTTATTTTTGTTATATGGTTTAGTTAAGATGAAATTCACTGTGTTAAATTCGTTTGGATATATATATTGTTAGAAAATCATGATCTGCAACTAGGAGTCTGATCTTCTCAAATTAGCATGCGAATTTTTTTAAAGAGATTTCTTATACGATTTCTTCTGTATTTCCAAAAGCGAATGAACTTAAAAACCAACTCAAATATGGATTTGTATTTCCAAAAACGAACGAATTTAAAAACCGACCCATACACAAATGGCGTACCAAAGTACCGATAAAAACATCTTCAATTTATAATAGTAGAGAAGAGATATAAGTAGTAGATAGATAGAGAATAACAAATTAAAACCGACTCAAACACGGATGACGAACCGTAGGAGCATCTTCAATTTTTATAATAGTAGAGATTTGATAAATGGGATGCCACGTGTACACCACGTCAACAGATACTATAGTCAATATTGCTCTGGAATTCAAATTATACCGTTTTTAATAGTTTAAGATCATGATATCGGGTATTACGTACTCTCTCTGTCCCAAAATATAACAACTTTTAGCCATCAGGATTTATCCCAAAATATAACAATTTCTCCAGCAACATTCTCTTTCCAACCAATCATAACCCAATAAGAGCAAAATGGAAAACTTGTCGTGAAAAATTTTCTCCAAAAATTTGAAATTTTTGAGTATGTTACAAGCATTTAGCTGTTCTCTTCCCAACCAAATACAACCCTCCACCATTCACTTTTCCCATATACCTCCACTACTCATCGAATCACAACCCTCCACCATTCACTTATACCTATTTTCTTAATAACCGTATCCCACTTAAAAACTTTTTATATTCTGCGACGGAGGGAGTATTATAGTTGACAAAGGTATATTCAGGGAGTCAAAGTGGACTTATCACTGCGGCTTTGATAAATCCGAAGTGGACTGGAAACCGACACCGTGTGATCCGTGGGCGGGCCTGGACTTGTTCTCCTTGTCGGATTCCAGCCCATATACCACATCACAGGCGCAGGGGCACAGAGCAGGGCGACCCGTCGTATAAAACCCTAACGCCGCCTCCACCAGCTCTCTCACCCCAGAATTCCCAAATCCGCAACGCACGCACGACAGCCAGAGAGAGAGAGAGAGTCAGACCGCCGACACCCGACGACATGGCCGTCGCCTCCGCGTGGGCCAAACCCGGCTCGTGGGCCCTCGCCGCCGAGGAGCAGGACGACCTGCCCCCGCCGCCGCCGCCCGTTCCCGCCGCCGACTTCCCCTCCCTCGCCACCGCCGCCACCACCAAGGTCCCCAAGAAGAAGAAGCCGCAGCCCGTCCCGCTCGGCGAGTTCAACAGCACCAAGTTCGTCGCCCCCGCCTACCGCGGGCCCACCCAAGACGACCTCCTCAGCCTCCCCACAGGCCCCCGCGAGCGCACCGCCGAGGAGCTCGCCAACGCCACGCGCGGCTTCGGGGCTCGCTGGGGCGGCGCCGGCGCCGGTGGCCCCCGCGGCGACGACGAGCCCCGCCGCGGCGGATCTGGCCCCCAGGACTTCGGCCCGTCGCGCGCCGACGAGGCCGATGACTGGGGCGCCGGCAAGAAGCCGCTCGAGAGGAGGGAGCGCATGGGAGGGTTTGGCGTGGACTCTTCGATGTCGCGTGCCGACGACGTCGATGACTGGGTCTCCACCAAGAGGGCGGCAGCCCCCGCGCCCATGGAGCGGAGGGAGCGTAGCGTGGCGTTCGGGGCCGACTCGCATTCCCGCGCTGATGATTCCGCGAGCTGGATCTCCAACAAGGGCTATTCTGCGGCGCCGCCACCGCCCTCCGACAGCCGGAGGGGCGGTCCAGTCTGGGGTTTCAACAGGGATGGAGGCCCAGACGCCGACTCTTGGGAGAGGAGGAGGGAGGAGGTGAGCGGTGGTGGTTCAAGCGGTGGTGCCCGGCCACGCCTGAACCTTCAAAAGCGGACCTTGCCACTGGCTAATGGCACTGATGGAGAAGGGAAGGAGGACAAGGAGGAGGAGAAGGGAGAGATGCAGCCTAAAAGCAGGTCATCAAACCCGTTTGGTGCAGCCCGCCCTCGCGAAGTGGTTCTTGCTACCAAGGGAGATGACGGGAGGAAGGAGGAGGAGAAGGAGAAAGAGGAGGAGAAGCTGGAGATTCAACCAAGGACCAGGACTTCAAACCCGTTTGGGGCTGCCCGCCCACGTGAGGAAGTGCTTGCTGCGAAGGGTGAGGACTGGAGGAAGATTGATGAGAAGCTTGAGGCCATGAAGATGCGCGAGGCACCACCACCTGAGAGGAGGTCCTTTGGGAGGAGAGGTTCCCCTGTTAGAGGAGAGGACAATGGGAGCCGTCCACTGCCAGAGAGTCATGTCGAGGGAGCTTGGAAGAAGCCTGATGCAGTTCAGGCTGTTGGAGAATCCGAAGATGGGTCTGATAAGCTTAACACGGCTGAGGCTGCGAGAAAATTTGAAGAAGGGTTTGATAACTGAACTTTTATCCTTCTTTTATTCAATTGGCTAATTCATCATCGATTGCTCCCTGTTATTGAATTAATAGTTAATTGATCTCTGTTAGGTACTAGTAGTTTTTATTGATCTCAGTTATTTTTTGTCTGAGGTATGCTTTCTATTGCTAGGGTGGAAAACAAATATTGAGCCTGTTACTGTGTGCTATCTGCTTTTCAGTATGTGTCCCTCTAGATTCATTGTCAAGTGCATGTCCTAGCAGATTACCAATTAGTATGCAGCGAAGCTTTATTTTTACTGGCTTCATTAATAAAATAAGTTCCTCTCTTACTAGTCAATTTAGCAACAGTTTTATTAAGACAAATTGCATTCATATAAACATAGTGGTTGGTATGGTAATGTTTGATTTGATTATTGTTTGTCTTTTGCTGGGAATGTTTTGTTTGCCAGATTTTAAGATTATCATTGCAGTGAATTGAAGAACATTGTTTGCTTGCTTGATGTGATATTTAGACATGAGCCAAATACCCGTGCATTGTAACAATCTAGCATAAATATATGATTTCAAATTGAATAGTTCACACTTAATTCTAATACAAACGACGTGCAAATGATACAGTTATGCAGAGAAGATTGTTCAGATAAAAGAAAAATGAACACAGTTATGCATAGTATGGTGGTGGTGCAAACTCATTTCCATCACTGCTAGCTTCTTTTACAATATACTAGTAAATATCACCCTGTAGTTTTGGTTCGTTACATGTTCTTATGGTCTCAATATGACAAATGCTTAGCCAATAGCCACTTAGGTAGTTGGTGTTGTTCTCCATTTGTTCCACAATCTAAATTACAAAAAGTTTCTTGTCTGGTGTTTATGCTCCTTTTCTTTTGGCTTCAAACTTATGTACTTGAGTGCTCAAATTCGTGTTGTGTTGGGTTGCAATCTAATTCTGGAGAATATGCGTCTGGTGTGGCATTGTACTGAACAGGAAGGGTCCTGTTCCCATCTGAGTTAACATCCTGTGTTCGCATACATCTCTTCCTTCTAATGCATGGAATTATAAGCATACATCCTGTTTTCAATTCTTTGAACCATATAGTTTGGTGATGGTGGATATCTTGAATATGGTATAGTTTGGCATAAAAAAAAACACAGTAAGGTACCTACATATGTTTTTCCAAGCGATTGACAATATTGTGGCTGCGAGTGGCAGATGTAGATCCAACTATCAGAATGAACAATGCAACCACAACCTTATAATAGGGAAATACTGAAACAGACATCATGACATGTTTCTTATGCCTTGCATGAATTTTTTTTTGGTTAGTTTATATGTGATGTAGTAGATCAGCCACCAGGAAGAAATTTATCATAGTAATTTACTATAATTTCATTATTGTGAATTTATATGTTTGTCATGGTTTGCTTTGTAGAATGTGAATTCGGTTAATATGATTGTTGTAATTTTAGTAAGTCACGTATGAGTTAATATTCATTGTTATTAGCTGGTATGGTTTGTGCACCATTAGTGTGTTCTTGCTTGTTTCTGATTCATGGACCTCACATGGAGGAAGTCTTCGCAAGCCTGCAACTGTACCCCTATTGCCTTGGCCCCTTCTAGTTCAGTTTAATTTTTGCATGTCATCTCTTATTGAAAGAAGGAAAAATTGTAAATATACTTTGCATTTGTCCACTTAGGTTGAAGAATCTTGTTTGGCTTATGTCTCTTATTGAAAGAAGGAAAATGTACCATTTTTCTAGGTTGATAAAGCTGCGTTGTTAGCATTCTCTACTATAGGGTTATTGTTGTTTTCACAAAGTTCATGTTGTTCTTCCATTGTCATATCACTTGAATCATATTTCAGTGTTTGTCTTCTTTCATGTTCCCTCTATCTGCTGAACATTATTTCATTGCAGGTCTGATGCTACCAAAGAGACTGCTGCAGCAAACTAATCTATGCCGGTACTTGCGAACCCAAGGATTGCAGATCTCTTCTGCTAAATAGCCTTTCTATTATTTTTTTGCTACTTGTGTGCTACAGTTGTAACACTGAGTCAATTTTGCGTCCATGTTTCTTATCTTTTCTTAGCACCTGGTAATCGTGATTTATGGTATTGAGAATTTTGATCTGGAACTTAGGTCTTAATCATAGTGGGTAGTAGCTATTCATTCTATTGTGACTGTTAGTTGTCATGCTATGTTGACATGGTGATAATGTCTCGAAGAAAGAAATAGTGCTTTTTTAACCTTGTTAGCTGTGGAGATGTGGAGTAGCATTTGTTTAGAATTTTGCATTTACAATGCGGCTGAGGTTTGCGCCAGCAAGTGTGACCGCACCTATGATTTCTGCGCTACCTTGAATCACGGTGAACGCTTGGCTGAGGTCCTGTTCGCGAAAAGAATTTTTTGTCACATCGGATCTTTGACCGAATATCTAAGATATCAGAAGGGGTTTTTGGACACGAATAAAAAAAATTAATCTCATAACTCGTATGGAAACCGCGAGACGAATTTATGTTTTAGCCTAATTAAGCTGTCATTAGCACTTGTGTGTTACTATAGTATTTATGGCTAATCATGGACTAATTAGGTTTGAAAGATTTGTCTCGTGATTTCCATACAAACTGTGCAATTAATTTTTATTTTTATCTATATTTAATGCTTCAAGCATGTATCAAAGATTCGATACGATGTTTTTGAGAAAAAAAAATTTATGGCTAATCATGGACTAATTAGGTTTGAAAGATTTGTCTCGTGATTTTCATATAAACTGTGCAGTTAATTTTTATTTTTATCTATATTTAATGTTTCAAGCATGTATCAAAGATTCGATTAGATGTTTTTGATTCGATACGATGTTTTTGAGAAAAAAAAATTTAGTAACTAAACTAGGCCTCATTTCGATGCCTATGGCTATGTGGCCTGTTTGACATGCATAGCCGGTCCAATGAATCACTGCGAACGTTCGGCTCATTTGGCTTGTTGGAATAAACTAGATAAAACAGCCCCCTACGTATGTCTGTAACATTTGATAAAGCAGCCCCCTACGCATGTCTGTAAAAAAAAAAGTTAAGTGGGGTTTCATGCGGCCTTCCATGATCCACTAGTCGTTCTCATGCTAGATTAGCCCCTTTGTTTGACATTCATATGGATTTTACAATCTGTTGGGAATGCATAATTTTTTATTCAACGAAGACCTTCAGTTATACCATCATTTGGCTCGTACGTTAAACCGATGCTAGCCTAGTGTCTAGGGTCCTCCAGTGTGGTTTGTAATATGAGATACCAAACCTAGTTTGATGAACATCTGCATGTGTCTCTTCATGATACTCAAAGTGACACATGCAGATGTCCTCGACCTCCCTGCCACACATGTAGATGTTCTTTTCCCATATCATTTTTCTAATCTGCCATCAAATTCGCAAACAAAACAAAGATTGCATTGCTCATTTTTCTCACGTTGGATTGGACACTTTTGTAAGCTGAAATTTGTATTATGGAGTTTGTTGTTGTTGTTGCAAAAGTCAGCTAAAGGTAAACAACTACTCCCTCCGTTTAATATTACAAGACAATGATAGAAAGACTTATAATATGAAACGGAGAAAGTAATCAAAAAGCTTCTCCTGGTGGAGTTGATTGATTGATGCCTATTTAGATTTCCTCCAGTATTCTCAACGCAGATTCCGCATAGATGCGTTGTCTGAAAATTGAAAACCACATTACAGGAGCATAAAGTTAAAACAAAATTTAGCCAAAATTTATAGAATTGGAGGGAGATAGGGAATGAAAGGTTTTTCTTTCTTGGCGTACTTCTCTTGGGTGTGTCTAGGGCCAGCCGGCCAGGGCGATTGTGTTTCATGTATCCATCCCATGGAACCTTCTTAAGGCCAACCTGAGCAGCGATCATATCCCTCACCCCATCAAAGTATTGGAAAATGATGTGAGCAATTGTATATTTTATTCATTTATTTTAAATGAAGAGCCAATTCAATTGCGGTCTCTCCTGGCATAATTTGCTGAGGGTCCAAGAACCAAACATCACACACAACACCCCATGATGTCATAAGTCGAAACAATTCAACTGCAAAAGAATGTCTGACAAAGCGTTGGATGTTTAGTTTATACTTCGTACTCAAATAACCAAGACGGCCAAATTAAGCAGATCTGCACAATTATTTTTTGCATTTCCTCACTTCTTACTGTCCCAAAAAGTGTCAGTAAACTCTTTGTTGTATTTGATAGCTATTGGGCATACAATGCAGCCAAGCTCAAAAGCAGCCTGAAAAATCACAGTGCAGACAAATATGCAAGCCGTGGTTAGTCTGGCAAGAAAGATGACCAAATATATCTTATGGAAGAGGATGGCTGATTCTATTCGACCGTCTTGTGTATGCTTTCTGGGGTACCCGATATACACTGCCAGATTGCTACTACCATATTTGGTTACTGCTCAAAAAGAGTTTAACGCGGGTACTCTGATACAGTTTTGTTTGAAGAAATTGAGTCTTGAATTTTGTCTTGTAGAAACTCTGTACAACTTAACAATTTGAAATATCATTTGTATGGGCATATCACATATCCATATATGATTTTTTTTCAACAAAAAGGAAATGCTTACCTTCTTGAACATGACTGTATACCGATTGTTAACGCAAGTTCCTTCTGGGAATATCATAAGAGGATTGTTGTCTGGAAGTTGGACATGCTCTTGTAGGTTGTAGCCTGGTAATGAAATTTCTTCGAGTAAAAGTAAGATTACCAAATATAGGATTGCTAAGGATAGCATTTCTTACTTTTCTTCCACCATGTTGAAGCAGAAGGAGCGGCTGCTTGTCCTTGGCGTTGGCGCGGGTGTGTGGTTGGGTGATGACGATCTGCTAGCCATTGTCAATAATAACGAAATTAGGGCCCTCCTGTGTGTCTCCTGGTAGAAGGCATCCCATGCGCACCACCTGAAGTAGTCAACAATGCAGGGAACTTCTTGTTAGAGTGGAGCCAGAAGGTCTTAAGGTAGGACTTGGATATGACAACTTTGCCGGTGATGGCGGTGAAGGGGTCGAACTCCACGGTGTCGATGACGAGCACGTGGTCGAAAGATGTGGTGTGCGTGTCCGCGCCGCCCCAGCGCCGCTATCAACACAGAGCTGGAGCGTGCCAGCGCTCTGAAGGCTAGATCAGAACGTGCCCTCGTTTAGCAGGAGGAAAACGACATACGCGTCACCGCCACCACCATCCATTAAATTCGCACCTTGGAGGAGAATTTGAAAGACTTGGGCCCTCTTCACTGCAAGCTCTCCACGTGGTGTGCTAAATTTGGATTGTCGCACCCGAATGCTTGCCCTTTGTGCGATTAAGATGGGGAGACAATGCAACACATCTTCATATCTTATCTTGTGTCTCTGCCCGTCAAGTATGGTTCTCTAGTCCTAGAAAATATCAGATTGACGATGGCAGCACCTCAACCTTAGGCAACCTGTTTTTTTAGTGGGTGATCCAAGGTAGTCGAGCATTATACTAAGGAGACAAAGAAATGATTAAGTTCCTTAATCAGCCTAGTGGCACAAGAAATTTAAAAGTACTGGAATAATTGTGTGTTCATTAATATCACACCAACGGCACAGTTGTCTTGCAAGCATTAGCAATAGAGTGTTCGTATTGGCTGATGCCACATAGGTCGCTTTCTTTTGATGGTTAGCTGCTCATGGGAGGTTTTTGTGTGTCACGTGTTTTTTAATGTCTTTTTCCTAGAGAGTTCCTTTTTTGTGGACCACTCTATTGTACAAATTTCTGCTTCTTGAAGCACAAGCCTCTCGCATTTTCTTGAAAGAAAAAAGAAATGTTCTAGGGTAGGACTAGTGATCCTTGTATTGTAAAAGCATAAAGGACCGATGCAAACGACGACCCCCAATACAGTCCTATGGAAGAGGCAGTACACCATCATGCGCGCCACATTTTGCAGCAACATTTGAATCCGATCTTCCAATGCAACCATATAGATCGATGGCAATACACATTGCCAGTATATCACGAAGATCCCTCGTGCTTCAAAGTAAAAAAAGATAGATATATACTGGTTTACCGCACCATATCTTGGTTTCATTTAACAATGACCTATTTATTCTTCATTCAGATCCAACATGCACCCGCATGTTGAACTATAGTAAATAAACGCATATGAGAAACAAAACAGTATTTTGTCCTGAGCCACTAAAATTCTTGGCAACATTTGCTACAGTACATTTAAAGTTTGTGGCCTTTGCGGTGAGACACCTAGAGAACGTGTATCTTCTCGTGGACACTGTAAAAAATATGGTAATCAGCTGCTGGACACCCGCCTCATTATTTTATTATTTTTGGTGGAAACGGAGAGAGAAACAATGGTTAAAGATAAGTTTGCCCATGGGCCCACTTGTCAATCACACATCTGGCTTTCTACGTTCCTCTTCTTGCTGCTGGGCCGACTCGCCGCGTGGACGGAGGACAAAGAACGACGTGCCCACGAGGAGGGTGAGGGCATTGTCTCTCGCGGTGGCGTCGGGCAACCGACTGCGTCGACTGGCCTTGAAGGTGAGGGCCCCCCATGGGCCGACAGTGGGACGGATAGAGATGATCGGGAGGCTCGACTGGCGGAAGATGGCAGCAGCGGCATGCGTCGGGTCCCCCGTGGGCCGACAGTGGGACGGATAGAGATGATCGGGAGGCTCGACTGGCGAAAGATGGCAGCAGAGCGGCATGCGGGAGGCTCGACTGGCGAAAGATGGCAGCAGCGGCATGCGTCGATGGTGGGACAGACGGAGTCGACCGGGAGGCTCAATTAGCAGAAGGCGGCAGCAGCAGCATCCTGGGGAGGGCTCGAAGCGACAAGGGGCATCCACCCCTAGGCACGGAGCTCTAGGCTGGCATCGACGGAGTCAGGGTGTCGGTGGAGACGACCCTAGGGCGCGAAGGACGGTGATTGCGGCGGGCAGAGGTGGTGTACTGCTGATCGATGGCAGTGGCAGTGAGGCGCCGCTAGCCTTGACGTGGTACTCACGACGGCATCCACCGAGAGGCTGGCCAGTGACGAGGAGTCCAAGACACACGGTGTGGAGGGCCACCCGACAAGGAGGGTGAGGGTGCTGCTTCTCCCGCCGCCTCTCTGCCGGTCGCCGCCCCACCCATCGTCTACCCCCTCCGCCGCCCACTGTTGCGCTCACTTGCCACCACTCGGTCCTCTATTGCCAGCAGCCTCCCAAGCTCGCTAAGAAAAGAGAA